CTGTAAAGCAAACCTCTTCTTCTCTACCTGCCATAAAATGAAGCTAGCACCATTAGCCAAATGACAAACTCACCACCAGAACCGCATTTAACTACCACTATTCCTGAGCCAATATCTTAAAATAAGAATTATGTCTGCATTTCTCACAAGCATGTAGAGATTCGAACCCAGCAACATTCTTGGTTGCTCCTATGAAGACAGCAAACAGGACTCTGCACTGTAGCCAGTTTGCCAAGGGTGAGGAAAAGGAACCAAGGCTCTGGTTTCCTTCAATGCCTCAGGATTAGAAATACAACTCAGTGATACTTATTACTGAAAACTCAAATGGAATAACTTGTAGACAATGGCTAGAATTTAATTCTTGGCTGACGCAAATAACAACTTGTTGGCAAGTTAGGGATATTGGAAAAGTTAGGATTTTCATTTGCTTTTCTGATTTCAAAGGGTAGCAAACATAATCAAAATTCTGAATTTCACAGTTTCTACATCCCAAGAACATCTAAGGACACATGTTCTGTATGTTCACTGACAACCCTTAACGTAAGGGAGATTTGCATCTCCCCAAAGCGATATACTGATACCATTGAGTATACTCATTTTGCAAATGGGTACTCTGATCCATCTGCATCCGATGACTAATATGGTTAGCAAGGAATTAGGCCCATCATTTCAAATAGTCTCTAGACATGAAACGTCCTCTGGTTAGCATTTTCTTCTAAGGTTTATCCAACTGTGACATGACCTTGAAATTCTCATCAACAGACCCTTTGTCTAAAACAAATTTGCTGAAATATCCTAAAATCCAACATTGAGAAATGGTTAGAACTTTACTACTTAACAAATCAAATTCCATCAGCAACAAAAGCTTTTGGCTCAAATACAACCCCCACAGCCCACCTCAGGACCCAGGAGATCAAATTGTAACTAAGGAAAAAAAATCTAAGCAGCAGACAGCTTAGTACCTCGGATCTAACCTACCCAGAAGCCACAGAAACCCTCCTGAGCCTTTAAAAAAAAATTTTTTTTTTCTGGGCCTGGCAGCCTCATGGCTAAATCCTTGCCTTGCATGTGCTGGGATCTTATATGTGCTCCAGTTTGTGTCGTGGCTGCTCCTTTCCATCCAGCTCCCTGCTTGGGGCCTGGGAAAGCAGAAGAGGATGGCTTAAAGCCTTGGGACCCTGAACTTACATGGGAAACCTGGAGGAAGCTCCTGACTCTGGGTTGATTGGCTCAGCTCTAGCTGTTGTGGCCACTTGGGGAGTGAAACAGCAGATGGAAGATCTTCCTCTCTGTATATCTGACTTTGCAATAAAAATAAATCTTTTAAAAAGTTTTTTCTGTGTTCTGTGCAATTTGAACATGTTTAAAACTAATGGCAATAATATAAGCTATGTAAGTTCATCTACCATAGCTTTTACTTCTAAAATGTGACCAAATTCATTTTAAGCCAAATCATATTTTAATACCTTATTTTTAAAGATTTATTTTTATTGCAAAGTCAGATATACAGATAGGAGGAGAGACAGAGAGAATGGGATCCTAAGTATGTAACCCAAAATGTAAAAATCAAAAAATCATGGGCACTAGAAACACATAGTAGAGGCCCACTTTGCTAAGTCACTTGGCCTTTTATTTTGTTTACCCTTAAGCAAAGATAAGGAATATATACGAAAATAGCCTTAAGTAGTCAGAATCCTGCTTGGGCAACAAGGCCACTAAATCTACAACTTACCTTAAAGAGTCATCCAGTAGTTCTAGAATGAGAAAAGTTATTTACATGATTGGATTAAGAAATTTCACAAAATTAGAGCATGGATATAACTTAATTTCTAAAAACATTTCCAGATAGCAGATGGTTATGGCCAGTGGAAATACAGTCTCTGAAAACATCAATGTGACTTCAGGGTACAGTTGACACCTAGCCTTTCACTGGACCCTTCTCAACATATCCTGGCTTGCACAGCAAGAATGCCCTCATTTCCCTGCCTCCCCAGCAGAACTGCTGCCCATGTGAGGGAACCAAGTGTTAGGTTAGACAGCATGAACTCTGCCAGCTACTACTGTAATCTCAATGCCCTTGGCCATTTATTGGCCACACAACCTGGGGTGAGTTAAGTTTTCTATACCTACCCTAACCCTTCCCCACCTCATAAACTGGGTTAAAACTGTGCCTGCCACATGGTGAGTGGTATGAGTGTTTGTTAATGGCATGATCTAAACTGCTTTTTTCAAATGACCTTAATAAACGAAGTTGTATGCATACAGAGACTGACCTCACATCTTTCAGATAGAAGGTAGCAATCTCCCTCCAAATACCACAAAACCTAAAGCACCCTGACCTCATGTGCCCTCCTGGGTCCTGCCGATGAAACGCCCCCGACTGGCATACCTCAGCAGTGGTTTGACTCAGTACTGACCACGCTACATACCTCTAAGAGGGCTGTCTTCCTCTTCCCTGTATGTGTACTTGTGACAGAGCAAGCATTCTCATCAAGCAGGGATACCTGTATAATGTACCATGTCTGTCTAAGTTTCTGCTTGTATAAGAGAAGAAAAAGTGTTGGAGGAGGTCTCCAAGCAGTATTTTACTTCATCAGCTTAATTATGTCCAGAGAGACACATATGGTTTTCTTTACCTTACGGTGGCTTGAAGGTTAGATGCAGTCAGATCAATTCACCCAAGTAAAATGCCAATACCTAAGTGACTGCAAGTCATACCAACATACATTAGAGACACATTAACCTGGGCCCTAGCTTCCCCTTCAAAGGCAGACCAGTAACAGTATCAAATAAGGCTTGTCATTGTGAAGGAGGCATTTTGACTCAAAAGCCTGCATTTGCAAGAGGTGATAGTTGCTCAAAGATTTCACAGAACTTTTAGAACTTAAGCACTTGCAGGAGCAAAGAACTAAACTTGGAAAACTACTTGATGTCATGGGTCAAGCAAGCTGGCCCATGGTGGAACACTCTGTGGGTGCTCCAATACCTCATTGTTATAGGAGTTGGAAAGAAGGGAAAGTTCCACGAGGGTCATTAACACTTTATACCACCTACTAAAGAATTCCCAGAGAGGACCAAAAGTGTGATGGCGAAGTGGGAAGAAGGGGCACAAAGACATAAGCTTCTAAGATGCGTCAGACAAGAGCACCTTACTACTTAAAAACTTTCCATTCCCAAATGCATGAAAGCAAGGCCTTTGTTCATGCTTTAAAAGAAAAAATTACGAAGACACAAAGCTCAAATCAGATTTCATGAAAACAATTGATACAGTGTAACCCTTCTCAAGTGCCAAGCCTACACAATGTCCGGAGATGCAATTTCTCTAAGATCCGTCAATATGTTTATTACTAAGAACCGATGACATTCATGCTCACATTAAGTTCAATCATTAAAATGGCAATTGATGGATTCATTCCAGACTGCCACAAATGCTATGTTCATGTGCTATTTAGTTGCCTTAGAATTTCCAGAAAAATCTCGGCCCCATCTCTAGTCAATGTTTTCCCAAGTTAGGACTCTAACTTCACCAAATGCTGCAACACAGATTAGCGGGAATGATTGTTCTGACAGTTTTCACAACAAAAGCACGTAACTGGCTAAGGGCTGCCGCCAGGACCACTTACTCCTTTCCAATCCTCCACAGCCTCGTTCTGTCTTCTGAAGCACCAAGGCCTCACCGTGGAGCCCACAGAAGAGCCCAACTTTTTTTTTTTTTTTAAAGATTTATTTACTTTTATTAGAAAGGCGGATATACAGAAAGGAGAGACAGACAAGAAGATCTTCCGTCCGATTGTTCACTCCCCAAGTGACTGCAACAGCCGGAGCTGAGCCAATCTGAAGCCAGGAACCTCCTCCAGGTCTCCCATGCAGGTGCAGGATCCCAAGGCTTTGGGCAGTCCTCAACTGCTTTCCCAGGCCACAAGCAGGGAGTTGGATGGGAAGCAGGGACGCTGGGATTAGAACCAGCGCCCATATGGGATCCAGGCATGCAAGGTGAGGCCCTTAAACACTATGCTGTCGTGCCAGGCCTGAGCCAAACTCTTGATATGTCCCAGGGCTTGTTTCCTTAAGACTTATTGTTCTAAGCTGCATGGGTGACAAAAGGCTTTTGTAAAAAAAAAATAATCATCATCTTGAGATCAAAATTTATTTCACTGGCAACTCTGGGCTGGTTTCTTAGTATAAAAAGCACAGGGAAAGTTGTCCAGCTTAAGACAATTTTCTTAGCAGTGCTGTGTCAACACTGCCATCAATGTGGCATTTACGCAGTGAAATGACTCATTTTAATTTCTTCCAACTTCTGGTCATCATTCTTAAAAAACTACCCTCACCAAGCTATCATGATAATGACCTTTGAACTGCCCCATCCCCGAAACCAAGTTGGATCCACACTTAGAAACTTTTAGCTGGAAAATGAAGGCAAATGCTAACATTTAGCCTCCTGTTTGTGAATAAGTTTCTGACCAAAGGCTCTTTCTAGCAATAAACAACGAGCTTTAGGCACAAGGATTAGGAAACAGACCTAAAACTTTTTAAAGTTGGGTCAGCTGCTCTATTCAAGCCAAGTACTGAACTTACCTCCCATGTAAAAACAGAAAATCTATCTAGTGATTTTTCTGCACACACACACACACATACAACTAAATCCTCCCAGATTACACAAGTGGATTTCCTCATATTTCCCAACTCTGAGAAGTCTACGCGACACCTCGTTGTAAAATGTGCTGTAAAGAAGCACCTACAGCCTTACTGTGCCATCATCGTAAGACAAAGGCGGACCACAGAGATTCCTCCAAAAAGCAAGCTGCCCCAAGCACTGGTCAAGCAAGCGACTGCACGGGCAGCAAAGCCTAGCGAGTATGCTAGGGCAGTGCCCGCTTCCCGCCTTTGCTTTGTGACTCCGTGAGTCAGGCCTTCTCCCATCAGTGTCTACAATCTAACTCTGGAGTCAGGTCCTTAGCAAGGGCTTAGAGGAAAAAAATGACAAGAGGCATTTTTAATTTTAAAGAATTTTAATACAAACTTAATATAAACTATTTCAGTCCCTCTTAACATGTAAGACACTGACTCAAAATACTTTTATACCGTTTTTTTTCAAGTATTGCACAATATAGGTACAAAATTAATATTTACGATTACATTTTCTTCCATAATATATAGCAAAAATCTTTAAACCTTTAACAGAAAATACATTTTTTTGAAAAAGCAAATATTCGTACATTTTAATTCCACCACTAAAGGAATATCCTGTACACAATTTTAGAATAGTTGATGTCTTTAAGATGGATATCTTACAATTTCAGTAAAAAAAATACAACATGAAGCTGCTGCTGTCACAGATCACTGTAGTAAAAAGATATAAATGCAATACCATGTCGTAGAAACAATATATATATCCTCTGATATGTTACAAACTTTGTACTAAATTAAATTATACAATTAGAAAAGACCAATAAACCCACTTATTAGTGCCAATTTTTTATAAAAAAAAAAAAAATCAGCCACGTCCTTGCTATATCTTAAATACTGTCAGAGGCCATATCTGAGAGTATACTTTAAAATATACAGTCAGTATAAAATAACTCTGTGCTTGGTTGGCAAATGAAAAATGATGCATGTTTTATTTTTGTAACCAAGCTTGAATGTATCTTCACTAGAAGCTTAAAAAAAAATCTCAAGGAGGTGAGAAAAAAAATACCCCCTTGGGCCCGAGCATTTTAATTTGTACGATACACTTTTTCTTTCCTCTGGATTTTTTGTTTAGTTAGCCATAACAGGCTGGAATTGCTGGTTAGAATACTGCATGTTATTTAAGCTAAAATTCAAGCCATCTACAAAAGACTTCTCGTTGAGGCCTCCATAGGCTGCAAACACATCAAAGGCATTGCTGTACTGGAGAGGGCTGAGGTTGAGGGAGCCGTCACCTGGGAACATTCCATTGGGACTACTACTTTGACCCTGCATATTGGGAAAAATGAATTCCTTGGCATTAGGAGAAAGCGCAGAGGTTTTCTGCGGTGGCTGCTGCTGGGTTGGCGGCGGGGGCGGCGGCTGGGCGGGCTGCTGTGGCGGCTGCTGCTGGCTGCCCAGGCCCAGCCCGTACAGAGAGTGCGCTGAGGAGGAGATGGCTTTCTGCTTGAGGAGGTCGCTCACGTTCACGTTCACGCCGAGGTGGATGGGAGAAGTGCGGGCCACCTTGCTGCTGCGGCCGCTGTTCTTCATTTTGGTGGAGCCGAACTTGGTGGCGGCGAAAGTGGCAGTGGTAAAGGTCAGAGGCTGGGTGGACCGGGGCATGAAGGTAGGGCTCACGGCAGCAGAGTGGCCAAAGGGAGGTGACGGGGAGCTGGACACCGAGGAGGCGGGGTCACTGATGGGCATGAACACCTGGGCCTCTGGGTTAAAGCTGTTTTTGATCTCCTTATCCAGCTCACATCCATTTTCATTATTATCATCCACATATAGCACCTTCACGGGTCCCTTCTCCCCGATCTGGTAGGACACCTCAAACGGGTCGATCCAAACGCTGAGGTCCTGGGGCAGGTTGCCACGCACATCATCAATGTCCAGCCCACTCTCTTTGGACGCTTGCTCGATCACTGGGTCCACTTTCTCCCCGATGTGGATACATCTAAACCCTGATCCTCTGTATGGCTTTTCAGGATACCAGTGCCCTTCATATTTCTTCTTGAGCAGTCTTTCGAGCTCTTCACCAAAAATGTTGACACGTCTCCTGGGAAGCTTATTGTACAAATATGAAATGATAAAATTGAGTGCTACTTGGATTTCAAGCTGCATAGCTGCTAGGCCACAAAATTAGGTCTGTTTCAACTTCGCTACAAAAAAAAAGTGTTCAGTGTGTGGCAGAGAAACAAGCTTTCATTCAAAGTGCTGGTATTGGAAGATTATCCTTCTCCTTTACCTTCAGTGGACTCGGCCCTTAAGGAAAACAAAACAAAAGCAAATCCGAGTAAGACAAGCATAAGGTTCAGGCCCATGACCTTTATTTTACCCCCATAGTTATTTCACCTTCCAAAAAAATGATGAGTAGGCTAGAAAGCCTGAAAAATATAAACTGCATAACAAATACATAATAGAAAGTTATTTTTTCAAGTTTAAAATCTCAGGAGGAAATGTCAATTTGTAGCTGAAATAAATATTCTTTAAAAGGACTGTTCAGTGAACAGAGTTCTAAAGCAAGTATCCCTCACTCTACACAGTCTCTCTCCTCCTCCCCCCTCCCAGTTCTCCCAAAAATTTTTACTGGAAACAAGCGAGCACACCCCCTCACGCACCCTCCACCCACACGCACATGCTGCTGGTAGGAGCTGCTCTTTAATTGCTATCGCTCTTCATCAGCCTAGGAGTCCTGTATGTTGGTCCATTTTGGTTATATACTGTTTAACGCACACTATCCTTAAACATTTTGAAAGCAGAGAAGCAGGGAAAACTAATTTTAAAGTACGTGATGTGAACATGAAAGGCCCCACATGCCAAACGAATTGCCATCCTTGGCAAGGATAATCACGCACTAAGCCATCCTGCCCGCTCCAGGACTTAAACATACTCAAGGCACACACAACATGGAGCTTCGCCATGCCTTTTTTCTTTCCAGTGTGGTGTGTTTTTCTACATCTGGAAACACCTCTTGGCCAGCAAGTACAAAGCTCAAGTGTTTTTCTTTAACAGGAGAAAGGACGAATTTCAGAACACTATTGTTTATTGCGCTTAGCGGGCAGGGTTTTGAATTTTATTCTGATTTTCAAAACCACCTCCAAGCCTCTCAAGATGGTAAGAGCACAGTGGTGAGGCTTGTCTGATAAGGTCGACCTTTAAACGTTTGCTGGGTCAGCACTGGGTGGGGATAAGATCAAGGGCAAACACCAGATACTTGCAAAGGAGACCTATTGGTTCCCTGAAGCTGATGGAAAAGGTCGTTTGAAAACCAAGCTGGTGGAAAGCCTTCTCTTTTCCTAGATTCACGATGACAAAGGAAAAGGGTTTCCCTGGCTACTCCCCAACTACAAACACTTTCCAAGCCCCCAGTGGAGGCGGAGGCGGCTGATGAAGCTCAATTGCTCCAAGGTGCAGCCGAACCAACTGGGGCTGGGTGGAAGGTAGTTTTCAAGCAGCGCCTGAAGACGGGAGTATGAAGAATTACATAAACAGCCAGTTGGGTCTCATTAGATTTCTGCTCACAGCCCTCGAGCCCCAAGCGCTACGGCAGCAGCCAGCAAGAGGAGGCGGAGGGGGAAAAGAGTACGAGCTTCCCGAAGGGAGGAGGAGGAGGACGACGACGACGATGAAGGCCTCGGGAGGGCGAAAAGCCAGCAGCCGCGGCCGGGCACCCGGGCATCGGGCACCGGGCAGGTCGGGCGCCGCCGGGTCAGCCGCTCCCCTCCCCCCGCCGTAACCTGACCCGCCGCTCCCTCCCCCCGCCCGAGGCTCCTGGGACCCGGCCAGAGCCCGGGGAGCACCGGCTCCCCGGCACCATTTTCAGCCTCGGCGGCCACCGGCCCCTCAAATCCCGGCGTCCTTCCCCCACCCCCCAACACACACACACACACACACACACACACACACTCACACACTCACACTCCCGCGAGCTCCGCCGCTCATCCTCGCAGCCCCAACCCCCGATCCCAGCGGCTCGGGCCCGGCGCTCAGAGCCGCTCCGGGCCGGTCCCCGAGAGCTGTCCCCGCCGCGCCCACGGCCGCCAAGCCGCCGTCGCGTCCCCCTCTGGCCCCCCGCCCGGGCCTCCACTCCCTGAGAGCCCGGGGCTCGACGACGCTGCAAGCCCTTCCTCCGGGGCCTCGGCCTGGACTCCGGTGTCCCGGCCGTCCGCCGCCCCGCGATACTTACGGGCTGCTTCGGGGTTGCGTTTCACCACAGACCCGCGGCCGGCAGGGCAAGAAGGGGGCGGCAGGGCGGGGGCGCGGGCGCGGCGACTCAGCCGAATGCAAGACGTCGTCGCCGCCTCGGGACGGGGGAACTGAGGCCTCGGGCGGGCCTAGGGAGCTCGCAGCTTGTGGCTCGGGGTGGCGGGGACAGGGGGGTCAGGCGAGCGCGCTCACTTCTCCACACAGCCCGGTGCCCCGGCCCAGCGTCCCCGTAGAGTGCCCACTCCGCGCCGGGCCAGAGCTTCGCTCCTTCTGCCGCGGCGCGCGCCCCGCCTCTCGTTTTATAGTCTCCTCCCTGCCCCCTCCCAGTGCTTTCCGTGGGGGTGCGCGCGCCCGCCCGCGTCACACAGCTTCGGGCGGCGTAACCATTCCCCGCCCTCCCGGTCCCGCACCCCAGACTCTCGCCGGCTCGCTCCACCCCTGCCCTACCCCTCGACGCCATTGGCCCAGGCCCGCCTGCCCAGGCCCCACGGGCGGCCGACGGCCGGGGGTGGGGAGCAGGCCACACCCGCTCCAGAGTAGCCAATGAGTCGACAGCCTGGAGAGGCCGTGGGCGGGACCGAGAGGAACGTTAGACAGCGATTGGAGGAGGGACCTGACAGTGAGGGAGAAAGAGGTGGGGCGGGATGGCTCGGTCGAAGCCGAGCGCCGGCGAGCAGGGGGAGGGGAGCCGAGCAGGTGGCGAAGCAGCAGGGGAGAAGGGGGTGGGGTGGGGGTGGGGGAGCAGCTCGGGCCCCCCCGAGAGCGAGGGGAGGGTTACAGAAAAATGCCCCACCCGAGCGGGACTGTGGCCGAGGAAAATCCTGCTGGCGGAGGAACCACTGAGTCGGCCTTCTGCCCACCCCCAGGGAGCCTAGAGGAAGGGCGGACTAGGACTCGTGCCCCCCCCTTTGGTTAATTGAATATTAATCACGTCAGGATCTCGCCCAACCGCCACCGGGAGAGTGGCAACTACAGAACCCAAAACTGCCGGGCTGGGGGTGGGGACGGGAGGCCACGTCGCCGCACCTTCCGCCCAGGTGACAGTTTAACTGCCTCTGCAGTCCCACCCGAGACCCGCCCGTGCGACCCTGCAGCAGCTGGGAGAAGCGGTCAGAAGGATCCCATTTCATCCCCCGGGCCCCAGCCCAGGCCGTCCGTGGCTAGGGGGTGGCGACACCGTGCCGAGCTGCGTACGTATCTCTGCGTGTGTGTATGCATCTATACATATGCATGGGTGCGCATCAAGGGCTCGAACGCAGGTGCACGGAACACACACGGCGCGTTGAAGAGGATATCCGGGTTGAATTCGATGCGGGGAAGCTAGGGAGCGGGCCGAGAGATCCCGGGGGGCCGTCTCTTCACAGCCCCGCCGCGAACAAATACACCAAGTTACGCGGGGCGTGGAACGGGGCGTCGCTGTCAGCTAAAAATATTACTCACAGGTAGCAACGACGCCCGATTGGCCGCGCTCGGCCCCTGACAACCCGGCGATTGGCTGCCTGGTATCCAGGAGACGGACGTCAAGCTAGGACCCGGAGGGGAGAGAGTCCAGGGGGAGCGAGGGGGCGGCAGAGCCATGAATGAAACGCCCAAGGCCCGGCCTTGCCCGCTCGCCTTGGCTCGGCTTTCGGGAGGCTGCTCCCTGAACAAACACGCGGCTCCTGTGGAGGCTCGCCTCCTCCACCTGCCAGGAAGAAGCTGGAGCGCAGCTCCCGCCTTGTGTAGACCTCTCGCCTGCTCGGCTCGAACCCTCGTATCAGCTCAGTTATGTCTGTGACCGAGAGATTCCGATCATGCCTCTCTCACGCCCATTTGCCATAATACCCTGTCTTGAAATAATGGTTCAGTACACGGCGTTTCAAGATTCTGATTGATAACTTCAGTATCCCCAAACCTGCACTCGCTCATTTTTTTTGACTTATTTTTACATACTTATTTTATTTAATTAGTTATTAATATTATGTTAATTTTTTTTTTTGTTTCAAACTAAATATTGGAATATAATGTACTTTCTCATTTTCAATGATATTCCTTTTCCTCTGCATACAAATGTTATAAATAAATCATTTGTGTTTTTCTCTTTCATCATTTTTATCTGATTTTCTATATAACATCAACTTAAAATTTCACCACTATCCCCTTTAATAAGATAGAATATCATAACTATTAGCATTAAGACAAAAAATTTACATTGAATCATACTTCAAACTACACCTTATACATATACCACCAATATTCATTCTCCAGTTACCATTTCCACATAGCTACCTTCGTCCCTGATACTCAGAATGGTAGGACCATGTGTTGGGCCATGTGTTTTGATTTGTAATTTGGGAAAATATATCACCATAATTAGGGAAGCCTATTAGGCTTGGCTGAGATTTAAATGTCTAACTAAAGATGGATGGATTGTAATGTTGTCAAGCTTTTCCATACTCATCATGAAAGGCTGTGTGTGCAGTCTGCAAGTCCACGTTTAAAATACTAGTCCCTCCCGGAGAGCCGGGACTTCATCCCTGCCTCCAGCTTCCTGCTGGAGCACGCTCTGCTGGACTGAGGCTCCAGTCTCCCTCACGGGAGATCTGGGCGGGCCTTTGGCGGGGACAGAGCTAGCAGGTGAGAGTGCTTTTTCTTGCTCTTTGCCTCTCAAATAAGTTTTAAAAAGTACTCATCAGGTCATCAGGTGATTAAATAACAATGCCAATAAATAAATGGAATTTCAAAGTCAGAAGTTTCAATGTCGAGAATGAATTCAGACCTGGCGTGGTAGCCTAGCAGCTCAAGTCCTCGCCTTGCATGCACTGGGATCTCATATGGGCACCAGTTCTAATCCCTATTCCGCTTGCCACTCAGCTCCCTGCCTGTGGCCTGGGAAAGCAGTAAGAGGAAGGCCCAAAGCCTTGGGATCCTGCATCTGCATGGGAGACCCAGAAGAAGCTCCTGGCTCCTAGGTTCAAATAGGCTTAGCTCTGGCCATTGAAGCCACTTGGGCAGTGAACCTGCAGACAGAAGATCCTTCTGTCTCTTGTTCTCTCTGCAATTCTGACTTTCCAATTAAAAAATAAATCTTTTTAAAAAATGTAATGAGTTCATGCTGTTTCACTCAGGCATCAGAGGATTTCATCCCCAGTAAGGACACAAGGACACACAGGCGCCCTGAAGCCTCATGGGATACAGGGCAGGTGCTGGGAGGTCCAAGCTTCTTGTCAGTTTCTAATAACTTTGTCTTCTCACCTCTAGAAATGGCTGTATTAGATCATCTCTGACATCCCTCTCAACAGAAAAAAAAAAAATCACACTTAAAACTCAGCACCCTGACAATGTAGCTCTTTTTCCAGACAAGGGTTACAAATAGAAGGGAAAACTGTCTCATGGCACAGTGCCAGTCACACAGTGTGATATTGTCTAAGTTTTGTGTTTTAAAGACCCTCTCTGGTGGTTAAGCACCTGTCGGCATTCGCTCTGGAGTTTTTGTGGGGAAGGGGATGTAGACTGTTGAGTGTTTAGTTCATTGTGTTGGGGGGTGGGGAGCCCACAGCCCTGCCTCCCATACAGTTCCTTGAAGGATGTCTTGCAGTCGAGGTGATTGTTGTCCAGGGAGCGACCTCCAACTTCTTAGGAACATACGGGTCCTTGAAAATGCCCCAAATCATCACCATTCAAATCCATGCTGGCCATCTAGACTTCTGAGAGAGATGCATCCCCAACTCGCTGTTTCTCGTTCCATTTTGTAAACTGGGACAGGTATGTGGGAGCCTGGCCGTCACAGGCTGTGGGGGTGTACGGAGGCTCATTTTCACTGTTGGAGATCAGGTTGTTTACACGGATGAGAAAACAAGTGCTTTTCATCCTTGCTAAGCTTTTTAGAGAGCCATGCAGCAACAACTATAGCATGCACATCTTCAAATTCATAAAATAACAAATTTGAACTAATCATTGGGTTGTGAAAAACCAAGGAAATGTGTTTTGCACGCATTTCTCAAAGGCAGTTGGTGCACACACTTCCATGAGTGTGTAAAGGAGAAACTGGTCATGGGAACATTTATAATTAAAAGACACTAGATAACCTTGGACAAACCCATTTTTCTTAGGAATGGGCAATTCCACTGGGGCACCTGGGGCCGGTGGGTGAGTGCCAGCTTAGAACTTGCTCACTCCCTGTTATCTTGATGAATGAAGGTCCCAAACACAGCTTGAAATTACTTTCCAGTAGGCGCAGCCGAGGATTTTGATTCCTGTAAGAGATTAAGCTGCAGATTCCAGGAGTGATACACTGTTCACGATATTCTAAGTACAAAGAACATTTATTTTAAGTCTTCTGTGAGTGAGTGCTACTGGAATACTTTAAATACACTCAGAGCATGGGTTGCATATGTTATTATGCAGTTCTGCATACTAAAATAGGATATGTGTGTGTGTGTGTGTGTGTGTGTGTGTGTGCATATCTTTCATCGTGGCAGACACTGTGCCCATGCCCAAGCTCCTTGTCTTCATGAAATTTCCCAGGCTTCCTTGCAGTAGGGCTGGCTCTGTAGTCCTGCTACTAGTGAGACATACAGAGAAGTCAACTGGGATGGTTACAGAGCAAGCTTTGCTTTTCTTACACAGGGGTGTGTTCTGTTTACTATCCCTGCACAAGAAACAACCCCAAACACCCAGTTATTATGGCCTGAAACCTTCATGTTTATATGCTCAGATCCTGTGGGTCAGCGGTTCAGACAGGGCGTGGGAGATGGATGGCTGGTCTCTGCTTTGAACACTTGGGGCCCACTGGGAGCTGGTCTGTGCCACAACCACCAGGTCTTTTGCTGGCAGGATGCTGTGTCTTGCTGTCGGACACAACACCTGCATGAAGCTCCTGGGCACTTGAAGTCAGGCTGGTGTGGGGGAGGAATTAAAGTTTTGACAACTTCATTTTCTTGCACATGTAAGCCACTCCATGTGGCCACCTGCTCTGACTTGGACAGCACAATTCTGGAGGCTTCTTCACAAACATGTCCACCCCCGCCCACCCCCTGAGCTGTGATGATTCACAAGCTGGGCTGGGCTGGGCTCAGTGGGTACTGCTGCTCCCAGGGGAGTCTTTCATGTGGCCCATGAACCCTACTCCCCATTCCATGACACCAGTGGCTCCCAGTCTGGCACGTGTCCCCGTAGGGAGTTTTTAGAGAAGGAACATTCTTTGAGAGCCACATGGAAGCTGCCTAGCTTTTCATGGTCCAGTCTCAAAAGTCCCCATGCCTACTTCCAGTGCTCTTTATGGGGCAGTGAA